ATAGTACAGTAACTATTATGGATAAGTATGTTGAAGGGGTCAAGATATATTTCCGGCTCGAAGCAGAGGGGAAGGTGGAATGTGTTCTCCACTCTCTGACTCTCTTGATGGAAGATAATCTTTCTTTTGACATCCTCCTAGGCATGGATTGGGGTGAAGCTGCGGATGCGGATGTGAAGTTAAGGGACCATGAGTGTTGGCTCCCTAGTCCGCAAGGTGGAAAGAAAAAAATCCGCCTTTTTCATGAATCAGGTAAGGAAAGCAGCTTAGCTCATTGTTGTATGAGTGCCCCCGCGTTCGCCCGCCATGTAAAAAGGTATAACCTGTATGATCAAGTTTTTGTTGTGTATGTGCGCCCAGTGAAAGAGGGTGAAGCTAAAGAAGGGTCAAAATCCCCTGAGATTGAAAATATTTTGAAAGAATTCGCAGATGTGGCAGAGGCCCCAAGCGGTGTGGTAGAACGACCAATCAAACATCGCATCGAAATCATACCAGGAAGCTCGATTCCTAAGGGGCCTATATATCGGATGTCACCTAAAGAGTTAGATGAACTGCGAGCCCAGCTTGATGAATTGTTGGAAAAGGGGTGGATAAGACCTAGCTCCTCGCCCTATGGTGCGCCTGTGCTATTTGTGCCAAAGAAAGACGGCGGCGTACACATGTGTATAGATTATAGAAGACTTAATGATATAGCAGTCAAAAATGCTGAGCCATTACCAAGGATAAACGATTTGTTGGATCGAGTGCAGGGTAGCAAGTACTTCACTAAGATTGATCTGAAGTCTGGCTATCTTAGATTGAGGTAGAGCCAGAGGACCAATATAAGACTGCCTTTCGAACAAGGTACGGGCACTATGAGTTCGTAGTGTTGCCCTTTGGTCTGTAAAAATGCACCCGCAACTTTCCAAAGGACCATGAATGAGCTTTTCCGCGAATGGCTTGATAAATTCATTGTTATATATCTTGATGACATTTTGATTTTTAGTAGAATCTGAGTGAACATTGCGAACACCTTCAACTTGTGCTAACTAAATTGCGTGAGGCAAAGTTGAAATTAAACCTGAAGAAGTGTGATTGGGCCAAGCGTCAGGTTTTGTATTTGGGGCATGTACTTGATGGTGATGGGATCAAACCGGAAGATGCGAAAATTGCAGCAATCCGCGATTGGCCTAACCCCCGCACTTTGACTGAGTTGCGGTCATTTCTCGGGTTGGCCAACTATTATCGGAAGTTTGTGAAACACTTCACGATAATTGTTGAGCCCCTTCGCAGATTGCTCAAGAAAGAAACCATCTGGAAGTGGGATTCAGACTGTACGGCTTCGTTCAAACGCCTAAAGAAATGTCTGATTAACTACCCGGTTTTGAAGGTTGTCGATCCTTCTTTGCCCTTTGTTGTCACAACCGGCGCCAGTCAGTACGGGATAGGTGTTGTACTCCAGCAAGATGATGGGAATGGATACAGACGTGTAGAGTTTATGTCCCGACGACTACCTAATGAGAAGGTCGCCGCTTCCACGTACGAAAGAGAGTTGTATGCTCTTCGGGAGGCTTTAGATCACTGGCGACACTATCTCTTAGGACTCCACTTTAAAGTGTACTCAGATCATGAGACACTTCACTGGCTTAAAACGCCGGCCCGGATGACACCTAAATTGACCAGGTGGGCCGCAAAGATTGATCAATACGACTTTGAATTAAAGCCAGTTAAGGGTAAGTACAATGTTGTTGCTGACGCATTGAGTCGAAGATCTGACTTTTCCGGTGCTGTCGTGACCTACTTAGATATGGGCACCGACTTGCAAGATAAAATTAGAAATGCGTATTCCACAGATCCTGTCTATGGCGCTATGATTAAACATGTGCAAGAAGCGCCACATGAGTTTCCTAACCACCAAGTTACACAGGGACTGTTGTTTGAGCAAATAGACGTGCATGACAGGCTTTGCATTCCAAATGTGGAAGAGATCAGAAGCTTGATCTTGGGGGAATGCCATGATACCGAAGGCCATTTCGGCTGGAAGAAGACTTATGCAGGCCTGTTGCGTTCCTACACATGGCCTCGCATGAAAGCTGACTGCATTGCCTACGTGCAAGGTTGTCAAGTGTGCCAAAGAAATAAGAGCACAACGCAACCTCCCCTTGGACTACTAAAGCCCTTGCCAATTCCAACAGGTCCAGGAGACTCCCTATCCATTGATTTTATGGATACCAAGGTGAAAAGCAGGAATGGAAAGATGCAAGTCATGGTCATCGTTGAGAGATTAAGTAAGTACGCTGTATTCGTAGCATTACCAGTGGAAGCAAAGACTGAATTAGTAATCCGAGAGTTCTTTAACCATTGGGTAAAGGATTATGGACATCCCTTAACGATTGTAAGTGACAGAGATTCACGTTTCATGAGTGAACAATGGCAACAACTCATGAATGTCTATGGCTCTAAGTTAACTATGTCATCAGGTAGACACCCTGAGACAAACGGCCAGACTGAGCAAATGAATAAGATCTTGCAGCAGACATTACGCATGTACATCCGTCCCGACCAGGTTGACTGGGATGAACATTTGCCCAAAGTTGCTAGTGCCTATAACAACTCTGTTCACCTATCTACATGCAGGACTCCAATGGAATTGCATTTGGGATGGCGACCACGTAGACCCATTGATCGCTTAAATCCGGATCAAGTACATAAGCTTCCTCTAGGGACACGTGAGTTTGCAATACAGTATCAACGAGATATTGAAAAGGTAAAAAAAAATATAGTGAAGGCACAACACCAAATGGTGGAACAGGCAAATAAGCATAGAAGACCATCTCAATTTGTTGTAGGTGATTTGGTGTGGGTTAAGTCTAAAGAGTTTGCTCCTGAGGAGAACATTTCCCAGAAGTTACTACCCGCCTGCAGAGGGCCTTGGCAAATTCTTGATGTGATTGGAGAGGTAGATGGACCTTCTTATGTAGTTGAGATTCCTCTACATCTGCATATGTATCCGGTGTTTCAAGCCTCAAAGCTTCTACCTTGCATGACAAATGAGTTGTTTCCCAGTTGTTGATCGGCGATACCTCCTAGTATGAATGGGAAATACGATGTGGATAAGGTTGTTGCTGAAAGCACTTTCCAAACCGGACGAAGAGGCAGGCCCCAGTGACAATATAAAGTAAGATTCGCCTATCAAGACCCAAGTGAAGATCGCTGGTTTACAAGAGAAGATTTGCTTGAAACTGCACCTCACATTGTATCTGCGTATGAAAGAGCTAACAGAGGAATAAATATTATTAATAGATGAAGGTTTCTCAGAGGACTTCGAATTTAGGCTGGCGAGAGTAAAAGAGCCTTTACCCGATTCAGGCCCTGTTCGACGAAAGCAGCATATTGGGGTTCCTCGCCCAGAGCCCAATTCGTGAAAGCAAATCAAAAGGCATGTTCTCTGGGTCAAAGGTCACATCCTGGCTAAAGTAAAGACAATGTCAAAGGTCATGGTTGAGCCCTGGACGAACAGTCATCACGTTTGAATTTGTGGGTCACATTTGTTCGCTAGGGGCAATGCAATTCGTTTCTACTCAGACAAGGGATGTGTCTGTACGTACAGTCAATGTGTCTGTTCGTGCAGAAAGAGTGTCTGTTCTTGCAGAAGAGTGCCTGTTCGTGCAGAAAGAGTGTCTGTTCGTGCACTAGGTGTGTCTGTCCAGCAGAAGTCAAAGAGTTAAGTTCCAGTCCAGATTCTAGTCAGGGAGAAAGTCTAGATTCAGATTGGGAGTCCGAAATCAAGGCCTGAAGGCCGCAGCAGCAGCAACCCCTGAAGGAAAGGGATCTGGGACACATACACAGAGGTTGGGACTGGGAAAGGACCAGGACAGACAACATTCAGACCTCATTAGGGGAGGCCAGCACTATAAGAAACGAGGCAGCCTCCCCCACAGGCAGATTCCGATAGGCGTTGATGTGTGGAAGTGCTGAGGCACTTGTGCGCTATAGTGCTGGGAGAGGCGCTGGCTGAAGAGGAGCTGCACCAGGAAGAAGGGAGGTTGGGCACTGGCTGCAAGGAAGCCATAGCTGCGCTAGCCTATGTTAGTAGTAGAAGGGTTAGTAGGTAGGCATCAGCGAGTGACATTCAAAGTAGATCTTCGTAGGTGAGAGTGTGCATGCATAGTGAGGTAAGAGAACCAGGACAGAGTTCTGGAGAGAGAGAGAAGAGATCAAGAGAGAGAAGACAGGGAGTGAGTCTGGATATGGTGGACACTTACCTGTTGGTGCCACACTTGTGATCAGAAGGAGGACGCTGGCTGAGCCAGGTCCCACGCGGTTGTATGACGAGGGAGACTTACCTTTTGTTGGCGTTGAAATCTGGAACTCATGATACTCTTTGTATTAAGTAACATTTATAATATAACCTGCGCTACTTGGTTCTTATCTCATGTCAATCTGGTTTTGTGTGAGGCCACTTTGTACGTGTGATGACATGTATGCATGCGGTTTGATGCTCTCGAGCAAGTTGTGAACAGTCAGGTTCCTTGCCCGTTTCTTTGATATTAGCATCCGAAAATTTCTGATATTTACATACATAGCCGAAAATTTCTGATGTTAACATTTCGTTTCTAGGCATATTAGGATAGCGATAGAGGTTGTCATATTCTCGGAGACTGGATTTATTCTTCTTTGAAAGTGGAACCTCCAGTCTATTAAGCGCAATTTGTTTTTTCAAGATTGCACTTTTTTGGAAAGCCAAAACTTTGCGGAACCTTGCCTAGATCTTGCTCATGGTACTCCTATGAAATGCCTCACTCATAGCAAATCGACCGATATACCAAAAAAAAAAAAAAAAANTGGTACTCCTATGAAATGCCTCACTCATAGCAAAAAAAAAAAAAAAAAAAAAAAAAAAAAAAAAAAGGAGGGGGGGGGGGGGGGTGGGTGATCCTCTTCTTTTATTTTTTATTTTTATTTCTTTATTCTGTTGATTAGGACCGGGAGGAAAGGATAGTTTGGTTGGTTACCTACCTGCGTTTTCCCTCCCACCCAACCCTTTGCCTGCATTCCCGACTTGCTACAGTGCCACGTCATCAACAGTGCCATGTCAGCAGTACCACGTCAGCAGGGCCCCGCCACCATGACGGTCTCAGTTCTGGGCATGCCAGACCCACTGGCCAATGAGTCCATTGTCGAGTATCGAGAGCGGTTCCAGGCTCAGCTCGCACTGATCGAGGCTGAGGAACAACGTCAGGCGGCAGCAGCTGAAAAGCAGCGACTTCACGCCGAAGCAGACGCAGATACCCAGGCACGCCGCAAGGAGGCCCAGGATCTGCTACAGCGGCACGAAGCTGCCAGCATTGAAAAGCTCAAGTTCTGGCATTTTGAACCATCCGAGCACCACGAAGACGCGACACCGGAAGAGCAGCACAAGGAGTTTCTTGCCAAACTCGTGACCCGGTTGGTTTACACTTGTAACCACCTGCAGTCCAAGCTGGCATATCTCCGACGGGCGGTGCGGAACGACAAGGATCTGCACGAGGATGCTACACGGGCACTTGATTCCCGTGTACAGGAGCAAGTTGCACCAAGACCAGATGCTGGCGAGTCCAACAGTGCACCCTCTACCCGCCAATTGGAGGAACGAGTTGACCACGTAGTTGCAATGCTTGGCGACATCAGCACCTTTGCTGCACCAGCCACCATCAGCAAGTAGCTGGACACCTTGAAGACCGAGGTTCAACAACTGCACCAGCTGCCCAACAAGGATGCTAACACCAGTGCGCAGCACTACAAGATGTCGACATTCCGCATCGAAAAGTTCGATGATTATATGCATCAAGACCCGGTCCACTGGTGGGAGGGCTTTACGACGGAACTTCGGATTCTTTTTGTCCCCGAGCGCTCGTACATCGGTGCGCTGTTCCTCAACTCAAAGGGCGGATGCCAGATCTGGCTGAGCCACCTGGCAACCATCCATGGCGTCCAAGTCGCCGATCTACATAAGAAGATCTCTTGGGACGAGTTGACGAAGCTATGGAAGAAGCGGTTCATCGTGGACGAGGCCCAACGCCCGCCATCAACCGCCTCTTCAGCATGACTCAAGGCAACACACCAACACATGACTGGCTCACGGAATGGCAAAAGATCGTGGCAACGCCCGATCTCGAGTTGCCATTTTCGCATCTACGCCGAGAGTTCTACAACCAGTCATGTGTCGCCTTGAGCCTCGCACTTGGCGATCGCGAGCAATACACGACCTTCGCCGAAATCATTGACAAGGCAAGGGAGATCATCAAGACCAACAGGGCGGCTGCACACGAGAAGTCAGCGTGGCAGCCAACCTATGTGGAGAAAGGGAAATTTGGTCCCCGTCCGCAGCATGTCGCTGCAGTCCAACCGGACAACATTGTGGAAGACCCGGCAGCCACCCAAGCATCACGTGAGGGAGATCAGGTGGCCGCTGTCCAGCTGCGAAGCAACAACAACTCCCGAGGAAAAGGGAAGGCGAAAACCGCATCGCCGGCCGGAAACGGACAACCAGCACCATGGGTCAAGTTTCACTTGATCGAGGCCGAATACAAGTGGTGCGACCGGTATGGCTGCTGCTATTGGTGCAACAACAAGCACAAGACCTTCCTATGCCCGGATCAAGGCAAGGAGGATGTTCGGCCTTGCATCAACTCGGGAAACTGAGTTGTGCGGGAGGTGAGGCGACTCCACCTCTCACTCCGCCAGATTCGGCCGCCTTGCTAGCGGCCTCCTACACATCTGGGGAGGATGCGAATGTCGCGAGTCCTTGGTTCACTTACGAGGATTATGCTGTCCACTTGGTCCCACCGTTGGACCAACCACTCCACGTGCAACAATCCATAGCTTGCACGGTTTCACCACCATCGGCAACCGATTCGGCAACTTCGCCGCCATCTATCGCCGGGGATTCAACGTCATGGTCAAAACTTGAAGAGCTCGACCCGTTGACATTTGCGGACTTCCAATGGATGCCCCTTCCCCCGTCCGGTCGATTGCTGAAACCGCATTGCAACGTGCTTATGGCACAATTGCGGGACTACTTGCACACTGCAGTACCATCTCCGTTGATGGACGCCGGAGTAGAGGTTGTCGACCTTCACGACTACGTTGCGAAGATCGACCGCGAGTTCAAGACACAATGGTACGACAACATCGACGCGCCATTGTTATACATACGCATTCAGATCGAAGAGGCGACCTGCAACTCTTTGATCTATTGCGGAGCTACTCGCAACTACATGAGCCAAGACTTTATGGTACACGCTGGCCTTGGGCCACACGTTCGGAGGAAGTCTCAGCCCACGCAAGTCACGTTGGCCGACGGTCACACGCACAAGTCAATCGACAGGTGCATTGATGTCGTCCCCGTGTACTTTGCCCCGCATGCAAGCGAGGTCGTGCCCTTCAATATTTTGGACACCAAGTTCGAGATGATCTTGGGCATGTCATGGCTGCGAAGCGAGGATCACCCGGTGAACTTCTACCGCCGCACCGTTCACGTTAGTGATCGAAACGGAGTACTAGTCCCATGCACGGTGCCTCCTCCTCACCCTTCGATCAGCTGCCACGTGGTATCCGCCGCAAGCATTCGAGGTTCCATCACGAGAGATGGCATCGAGGAGATGGGGGTGTGTTTTCTCCATGCCCTCCCGCCCCATGACATTCCATCAACGGACTCATTATCGGACCCACGCATCACCGAGCCTCTCGACGCCTACGACGATGTGTTCGAAGCCCCGTACGGAGTAGTGCCGGATCGACCCATCCGCCACGAGATCATCCTCGAGGCCGGGGCCGTACCTCCGCATGGTTGCATCTACCGCATGAGTGAGAAAGAGTTAAGTGTGCTACGGGCACAACTCGACGACCTTCTTGAGAAAGGCTGGATTCGGCCTAGCTCCTCGCCATACGGCGCTCCCGTTCTCTTCGTCCGAAAGAAGAACAAGGACTTGCGGCTGTGCATCGATTATCGCAAGCTCAACGCGCAAACCGTCAAGAACGCCGACCCTCTTCCGCGCATCGACGACCTCCTCGAATGGTTGGGCGGCGCCAAGTTCTTCTCCAAGCTTGACCTCAAATCGGGATATCACCATCTCGAGATCCGACAGGAGGACCGCTACAAGACCGTGTTTAAAACGTGATATGGGCACTTCAAATGGCTGGTTATGCCTTTGGCCTTACGGCCACATTCCAAGCGGCTATGACAACGGAGTTCCGACACATGCTGGATAGATTCGTACTCATCTACCTCGACGACATCTTGGTGTACAGCAGAAGTTTGGACGAACATGTGGAGCACCTGCACACCGTTTTGGAGCGGCTACGACAAGCCAAGTACAAAGCCAACTGCGACAAATGTGAATTCGCGCGGCAAGAGCTCGAGTACTTGGGACATTATGTGACGCCGCAAGGCATCCGTCCGCTTGCGGACAAGATCGAGGCCATCCGCATATGGCCCGAGCCCACCAACACCACGGACGTTCGCTCATTCATGGGGTTGGCGGGCTACTATCAACGCTTCATCACCGGGTACTCAAGGATTGCCGCACCTATGACGAGATTACAATCGCCAAAGGTGCCATTCGTATTCGATGACGACGCACGCCGGTCATTCCAAGCACTCAAGACGGCCATGCTCATGGCACCCGTCCTTAGCATCTATGACCCCACCCTGCCAACGAGAGTGACAACTGACGCTTTCGGCTATGGCATTGGGGCAGTCTTGGAACAACACGACAGCGACGACTGGCACCCCGTGGAGTATTTCAGCCACAAAGTGCCTCCCATCAATTCACTTGATGATGAAAGGAAGAAGGAGCTGCTCGCGTTCGTGATGGCTCCCAAGCGACGACGACACTTCCTCCTTGGGCGTCGTAGGTTCACATGGGTCACGGACAACAACCCGTTGACCTACTACAAGATGCAGGATACGGTGAGCAGCACGATCGGACGATGGATGTACTTCATCGACCAATTTGACTTCACACCAAAACATCTCGTCGGCCTCTCCAATCTCGCAACAGATGCACTCTTACGAAGACCCGATCTTTGCCTTCAGATGCACTCTCACACCGAAACATCTGCACTCTCACACCGAAACATCTCGCCGGCCTCTCCAATCGCGCAACAGATGACACATCATGCCTTCACGTTCGATGAGGAACTCCAGCGACACTTCATCCGGGGCTATGAGTCCAATCCGGATTTCGCCACGTTGTATGCGCAACTATCTTTGGATCACCTGCCGGCCAGCCACTATCGCATCGTCGACGGGTACTTGCTCCTCCACTCGCGAGGCAAGGACTTATTATGTGTCCCACGAGACCGTCGTCTTCGGACTCGCCTTCTCGGCAAGTACCATGGCTCGCAACTCGCCCGCCATTTCGGAATCAATCGCTCTATTGCACGACTTCGGGAACGATTCCGATGGCCCGACCTCATTACCGATGTCACTCGGTATTGCGACTCTTGTGAAGTTTGCCGACGAAGCAAGCCCTGCAACTGCAATCCCTATGGCGAGTTGCGCCCGATGCCTATCCCACGGGAACCCAGCCTCTCCATTGCCATGGACGTCACCGGACCATTTCCCCGCGACCGCCTCGGGCACGACGACATCCTCACGGTCGTTGACCGTTTGAGCAAGTATACGTGGTTTCTCCCTTGCAAGTACTACATCACGGCTCCCGAACTTGCGCGCCTCTTGCACACCGGATGGATTTGCAGCCACGGCGTACCGGAAGACATCGTCAGCGACCGCGACACTCGCTTCATGTCGGCATTTTGGACTTCTCTCATGCAGGAATCCGACACGAAGATGAAACCAAGTTCGGCTCCGCATCCACAAACGGACGGGCAAATGGAGCGGGCACATCAAACCGCTCAAATGATGCTTCATACGCTCATCGGTCAGGATCAGAAAGATTGGGTTGACCGCCTCCCCGATATCGAGTTCGCCTACAACACTTCGTTGCATCCGGCGATCGGTGTGACTCCATTCGAGTTGCACCACGGTGGCCGGAAAGGCCGACATAGACGCTGCTTGCTCCCCCGCTTCCGTTCGGAAGTACAGGGAATTGTTGGCTCAAGCCCGCGCGAACATGCAAAAGGCTCAAGTTCGCATGCAGCAGCAAGCCAACAGACCTCGCTCGCCATGTCCCATCCGCGCCTGTGATCTGGTTTGGGTCTCCGCGGAGGAGTTTGCACTCGAGCAGGATGTTTGCGCAAACTACTCCCCAAGTGGTTTGGACCATGGCCCGTAACATCAGCCGCGGGCGATGAGCCCGATGGCCCCTCATTTGTGATCAACATCCCCCCGCATCTGGCGGTCCATCCAGTTTTTCACGCCTCAAAGCTCGCAACATATACACCAGCTAAGAGCGACGACTTCCCGGGCCGACGATCGCAAGATCCTCCATCTATGCATGGTCATCAGGAAGTTGACCGTGTCATCATGGATCGCAAGTACGGCAGCAAGCCTCGACTGTAGAAAGTTACATTCAAAGCGTGTGATCCCGACGACACTCGATGGATTTCAGGAGCAGATTTGAAAGCATCCGCACCGCTGATCTACGCTCACTACGAGAGACAATGGTTAGCTTAAGGAACTTCACTTTCAAGGAGGGGGGGGGGGTGGCATACTGCACAGCCACATGGGCCTGCAAGGCCCGACCAGCGTTCTCAGCCTAAAAGCCTGAAAACAAGGGCCTACAGGCCCTGTGTCGTTTTCAGCCTAAAAGCCTGAAAACAAGGGCTTACAGGCCCTATGTCGTTTCAGCCTAAAACAGGGCCTTCCAGGCCCTGAGTCGTTTCAGCCTGAAACGGAGGGCCATTTTCAGGCCCTCATAAGATCGACCTGCCCTGAAACTTAGGCACCAGACCAGGGTTTTAGCACAGGCCATTTTTGGCCTGTTTTTAAGACAACCCTTGGTTGAACTTCAACRCCAGGGTCTGGCMCGTTTTGGCATTGGCAAGAGCAGCCTCCTGGACGGGCCAGCACTATATAAGACTGGCCCGCCCTACAGGCTGCAGACAGTCACGAGATAGTTCATAGGAACTTCCCAGGCACTTCACGTGCAGGAGGCAGGAGGCAGGAGGCAGTCTTCAGGATTAGGCAGCAGCACTCTGGAGGAGCGCTGCAGTAGTAGTAGTAGCCTTAGCAGTAGTCTTCAGCGCTGGGCGCTAGTAGGTGCTAGAGTAGCGTCGGAGAGAGAGAGGTGGTTGGCGGAGGCCAGGGAGACTAACCTGTGGCGCCATAGCTCCAGCTTCATCTTCGATGTACCTGCAACAAGGCGCCACCTTCACAGGTAAGTACCGGACTGAGAGAGAGAGAGAGAGAGAGTTCTTCTTCTTCCTCTTCTAAGTCCGCCATCTCCTCCTCCCCCTCTCGCTACCTGACTTCTCGGTATCTGCAGACTACGAGAGAGAGAGAGAGAGATTGGTGACTTTGGGACTTGACGACATTTGGATCCAGACTCGACATTGGGATTCAGCCTTTTGACGAGGGATTATTTGGGACCTGTACCGAAGACTTGGTGTTGACGACATTCCTATCTTCCCCCCTCCTCTTCGTCTAACCCCCTTCTTCTTCGTCTGTGTATGGTTGGGGACTGGCACATTCTTCCTGTGTGAGCGCCAGGCCCCTTCACACCATGGAACGATGATGATGTATGTTTGGTCTGCATTTCAACATTGATTGTTCGGATCATTGGTATAT